CCTTCTCCCCGACCCCCTCCCATACATTCGTTTTGTTTCTTAAATTCTGTGTATGATTGAAATGATATGGTATTTGTCTTTCTATGATTGACTTATTTCGCTTAGCACAATACTTTCCAGCTCTATCCATGTCATTGCAAATGGCAAGATTTCATTCTTTTTTGATGGCTGGGTAATATTCCATTGTATGTGTGTTACCACATCTTCTTTATCCATTCATTAGTCGATGGACATTTGGGCTCTTTCCATGTTTGGCTATTATTGATAATGCTGCAATAACACTGGGGTGCATGTACCTCTTTGAATCTATATTTTTGTATCCACTGGGTAAATACCTGATAGTACAATTGCTGGACCATAGGGTAGTTCTATTTTTAGGTTTTTTTAAAAAAATTTTAATGTTTTATTTATTTCTGAGAGAGAGAGAGAGACAGCGTGAGCAGGGGAGGTTCAGAGAGAGGAGATACAGAATCTGAAACAGGCTCCAGGCTCTGAGCTAGCTGTCAGCACAGAGCCTGACTGAGGCCCGAACTCACAAACTGCAAGATCATGACCTGTGCCGAAGTCGGATGCTTAACCGACTGAGCCACCCAGTCACCCCTATATTTTTAGTTTTTTGAGGAACCTCCATATTGTTCTCCAGTGTCTGTACAAGTTTGCTTTCCCACCAGCTATGCAAGAGGTTTCCCTTTCTCTGCATCCTCACCAACACCTGTTGTTTCTTGCGTTGTTAACTTTAGTCATTCTGACAGATGTGAGGTAGTATCTCATCATGGTTTTGATTTGTACTTCCCTGATGATGAATGATGTTGAGCATATTTTCAGGTGTCTGTTAGCCATCTGGATGTCTTCTTTGGAAAAAAGTGTCTTTTCATGTTTTTTGCTCATTTCTTTTTTAAAAAAATTAATTATTATTTATTTTTGAGAGAGAGAGAGACACACAGCAAGACCATGGGAGGGGCAAAGAGAGAGATGGAGACACAGAATTTGAAGCAGGCTCCAGGCTCTGAGCTGTCAGCACAGAGCCCAATGCAGGGCTTGAACTCTGAGATCATGACCTGAGCCAAAGTCAGACACTTAACCAACTGAGCCACCCAGGTGCCTCTGCCCATTTCTTAACTGGGTTGTCTGATTTTGAGGTGTTGAGTTTGATAAGTTCTTTATAGGTTTTGGATATTTGCAAATATCTACTCCCATTTCACAGGCTGCCTTTTAGTTTTGTTGATTGTTTCCTTTGTTGTGCAGAAACTTTTTGTCTTGATGAAGTCCCAATAGTTCATGTTTGCTTTTGTTTCTCTTGCCTTCAGTGAGGTAAGAAGTTGCTGAAGCCGAGGTCAAAGAAGTTGCTGCCTGTGTTCCCCTCTAGGATTTTGATGGTTTCCTATCTCATATTTCGGTATTTCATCGATTTTGAATTTATTTTTGTGTATGGTGTAAGAAAGTGGTCTGGTAAAAACTATCTTATATATGCTCAAGGAACTAAAGGAAAACACAGATGAAAAACTAAAGGAAATCAGAAATGAATAAATGAGAATATCAACAAAGAGAGAGAATCACTTAAAAATTTTTAATGCTTATTGATTTTTGAGAGAGACAGAGCATGAGCAGGGGTGGGAGAGAGAAAGGAAGAGAGAGAATCCCAAGGAGGCTCTGCACTGTCAGTGCAGACACCGATGCAAGGTCCAAACTCACAAGCCATGAGATCATGACCTGAGCCAAAGTCAGATGCTTAAATGAATGAGCCACTCAGGTGTCCCAAGATAGAAATCATTTTTAAAAAACAAATAGAAAATCTCAACCTGAAAAATACAGTAAGTAAATAGAAAGATTCACTAGAGGAAGTTAATTGCATGTCTGTGCAGGCAGAATAAAAAATCAGCAGATGTAAAGATAGTACATTTGAAATAATCAAGTCTGAGGACCAGAAAGGAAAAAGAATGCCTCCCCCCTAAGATCAGTAACAAGGCAAAAATGTCTACTCTCACCACTTCTATTCAACATTATACTAAGTGCTCTAATCAGTAAAATAAGGTAAAGAGCATTCAAATTGGAAAAGAAGATGTAAAACTGTCAGACAACATTATCTTCATTCTGGAAAATACTAAAGAATTTACTGAAAAAAACTATTACAACTAATATGTGATTTTAACAAGATTGCAAGATATAAGACAGATACTCAAACAAATTCTATTTCTATATACTAACAAAAATTAGAAATTAAAATTAAAAAGTAATATCACTTACAATAGCTTCATAAAATGTGAAATAGGAATAAATGCACAAAATATGTGCAAGACTTGTACAAAATAGTATAAAACATTTTTGAGAGAAATTAAAGATGCCCTAAATAAATGGAAAGATGTACCATATCCATGGATCAAAAAATTTAGTATTATTAAAATGTCAATTCACTCACAGGAATTTTTCCTACATGTGTAAATACATTTATAAATATCTGAGGTTTGTGTCAGCATTATTATTCAGAATAATAAATAATAGTAACTAAATATCCATTAATACAGAATTGAAGATGAGTTGTGTTATAGTCATATCAAGGAAGACATTACAGTCATTAACATAATGGTATGTACAAGATATATGTATATTATTAAATGAAATAAAAGGTAAAACTCTTCATACTACCATTTGTGAAGAAAAACATAATTCATTTGTTTTTGGCTATGCTAGACTAGTTTGGAAAGATACATAGAAATCTGATAGGAATAACTGGCTTGAGAAGGAAAAGTGGGAAATGAGAGACAAGGGTGAGCAAAGACATTTACTATATACCTTATTCTGTCCATTGAATGTTGTACTATGTATGTATATGCCTACTTTTTAAAACACAATTTCAAAGATTAAAATCACTTACATGCACTGGTCTTCCAAAAAGAGACCTCATGCCTGCTACTCTAATCTTTTGCCGCAAGTCCTCTCCCATCCACCCATTTACACCTCTGCTAGAGATAGACTGCAATTCTTACTGCCAAACGCACTCCATGGCCCATTGCTCTGTGTTCTGCATCTGTTTGTAAGTTTCTCTCCCATGTGGAACATGCTCCTTCCTCCACAGCCTGTACTTTTAGACCCAACTCCTATGTCACTTTAGCCAGGCGTCCTCTCTGACCACCATGATCATCACTATGGTTTCTCTCCTCTGAAATGGGATGTTTATAACCTAGGCTTTGCAAATGAGTATATAGTTCTGCTTGTTCTAGATTATTGGCTCCTGCTTTTGTAAGTTATTATCTTGGAAACCAGTCAGTTAAGCGTCTCAACAGCAACAAGGCAACAATGACTCAAATGTCTTTGTACCTTTGACACTACCCATCTTAGGGATGAGCACAGATTGAAGGCTCACCATGCCAGCAGGATGGAGGACTGGATGTCGGAGGAGGGTCCAAAATAAACTCTTCTGAGATTTTGAGCACAGGGATATTTTGACTGTGAGACTGCTGTTACCAGGGTAAGACTCTCAAGGAAATTCAGAAATTCATTGTTAGGGAAATATGACAATAACCACAGAGGTCAAGCAGACAACATATATGTGTAAATAAATGGGCAGTTAATAGAAGCGATGGACCCTGGGAATCAATTAGAAAACTACTGGCTTGCTAAAGGTTTCACTACATTTATTTTAAAGAAAATAATAACAAAACCAAACTTCCTTCAGGCAAACAGCATATATCCAGAGTAGATGAGTAGATTTATTCATGACCAGCAACTAGTTTACCACCTTAAGTCAGAAGTAGCCACTAACTAACCTGTCTCTGCAGGTAGTCATATCCATGAGGAGAGAGAATTCTAAAAACAGTTCTAGAGGGGCGCCTGGGTGGCTTAGTTGGTTAAGCGTCCGACTTTCGCTTGGGTCATGATCTCGTGGTTTGTGGGTTCGAGCCCCGCGTCGGGCTCTGTGCTGACTGCCAGCTCAGAGCCTGGAGCCTGTTTCAGAGTCTGTCACTCCCTCTCTCTCTGACCCTCCCCTGCTCACGCTCTCTCTCTCCTAGAAATAAATAAAACATTTAAAAAAATAAATAAATAAAAATAAAAACAGTTCTAGAAAACCAACTTTTAAGGGAGCCTGGGTGGCTCAGTCAGTTAAGCGTCTGACTTCGGCTCAGATCATGATCTCACAGTCCGTGGGTCTAAGCCCCATATCGGGCTCTGTGCTGACATCACAGAGTCTGAAGCCTGTTCCAGATTCTGTGTCTCGCTCTCTCTCTCTCTGCCCCTCCCCTGCTTGTTCTCTGTCTCTCAAAATAAAATAAAGACATAACATTTTTTTTAAAAAAAAGAAAACCAACTTTTAAGGAGCTCAATAAGTGAATCTCATTAGTATATCTCCAAGGAAGGCAGTGTTTAAATCTCTTCCCACCTATCCATAAGCTTGAGGCCACACAGACTGGGAGGCATTCCTTCCTGCCTCTTAAAATCTCATTTAAATATACCACCTTTCCCTTTTCCTCCTATGTAAGCTATGGTCCTCTTCATATACTTCTGATTCCCCATCACACAATGCCTGTTAATATCAAAGCTCTCCATTCCCAAGCCATAACCAGACTGTGCCCTCCCTAAGCTCATGTGTGCTTCACAGCTATATTTCCAGGACAGGTAGGAGAGTTAGAGGAGATTCCTCTGTTCCAGCCACTCTTCATCAAAATGTGCACTATGTCCCTAAACATAGTTTCTGGGGATATGTGACTAGATCATTGTAAAGGACAGAGCCAAGACATCAGGCTAGTGTAGAGTGTGCAGACTGAGGACAAAGTGGAGGCACAGACACTGTCTATGAGCAGACACTTTTAGTCCCAGGATCTGTAACTAGACTCCCTCATCTACAGACTAAATCACCATATAAGCTTCCCTAAGTCTTTGACACTGCATCTGCCTTGTGAAACAGAAGGTCTTTGTGATGCAGTCTGGTGGCCTAGTTCCATCATCTATGAGGCGGAGATGACAAGGCGTAGCATTAGGAGTCATTAGGCACCAGGATCCTGAATGCCTAGATATAGGGATGGTTGGTCTCCTCATGCTAATGAGGTTTAGACCATGTTGAGACGTACTTTTGTTCTGTGGGATTTTGAGTATACCTTATATGTCTATGTCTTCATCTTCATCATTCTCCTAATTATCTGGCAAGTAAAAAGGAGTTACCATGGATTAAGGCTGGAACCTCAAAGGAGCTGCTGCCCGGTAGGGAAATGTTATGACCATGATTAAACTAATAAGCCTCAGATAAGAATCTTGTAAGATCTCAGAGTCTCTCCTTTTCCACCACCCCCCAATTTTTATACCATGCATTCAGTAACTCTCATGTGGTACTTCTCAGAGACTAAAAATAATTCGTTAATAGACCACCTGCAGTGTATTCTAGTTGAAAATAAAGAACCATGAGAGGCTCTTGAATGCTGAGAACAAACTGAGGACTGATGGGGTGGGGAGGGGGTAAGGGGGTGATGGGCATGGAGGAGGGCACTTGTGGGGGTGGGCACCGGGTGTTATATGGAAACCAACTTGACAATAAACTATTAAAAAATTGAAAAAAAATAAAGAACATCTCAATCTGGCTTGGGATGAGACCTAGATGAAATGGACTCTAAATCCTTGTATCTCAGACAATCTCCCACAAAGTGGGATTTTCCTGGTTGGTAGTCTTGCATAGGCATTTTTTAACACAAATCTGTTGGCTATTACACCTACACACTCTTCAATCTGTTCCACTCTTTCTCTTGCTTCATCATAAGCCTCATAAATAACTTCTCCTGGGAAATAAATGAGAGGTATTGAGTATGGAAAATACTCTAAATAAACAAGCAAGTGGAGAAGGGAAATGTTGAGGTGAAAAGAGATGAGTATAGAAAGGGAAGTTAGGAAAGTAAATAAAATATAGACATACATAGAAAGGGATTAGGAAATGTATATTAGCTTTGTCTTATTTTATTTATTTATAATTTTAATTTTTTAATGTTTATTTTTGAGAGACAGAGCGTGAGTGGGGGAGGGGTAGAGAGAGAAGGAGACATAGAATCTGAAGCAGGCTCTAGGCTGAGCTGTCAGCACAGAGCCTGATGTGGGGCTCGAACCCACAAACCATGAGATCATGACCTCAAGTGAAGTTGGATGCTTAACCGACTGAGCCACACAGAAGCCCCAGCTTTGTCTTATTTTAAAGATGAAAAAAATATGTGGCCCATCTTCATACTCTTAACGTTTTGTCTTTAAGCGTCACAGAAGAGTCAGGATACGAGATGCAGCATTTAGAGGTAAGGTTCCAACTCTGTTCTGACTCTCCTTGCCATGAGCAAAATTCCCCTGATTGGTGTCTCTCTATGACTCTTGGTGCCAGGAGCCAGGTGCTCTAACCAATGAAGGGTCTATTTTCTCAGCTGACATTTTCTCCCAGATTTTCCTGGGTGGGATATCAGAGCTTGGGAATGTTCCCAAATTCACCTTAGCTCAGCTCCTGGGAATGAAGAATGAAGAATTAGGACAGAAGCCCTTACCTGTGTAGTTTACTAGTTTTACAATCCTATGGAAGTCACTACATCGTTCACTCTGTGATCCATGAAATGGGCATCTGATGATCCTGCCTCACTCACAGTGTGGTGAGATTAGGTCCAGGACACCACGATACAACTGGTTAAGTCATACACAGATGTGCCTAAGAGCACTTAGTGTTGGGGTTTTGAGTATCCTCTTACTCAAAGGCCTTCAGCTTCATATAGGACGTCCCTTCAACTTCCTATAGGACATCCCTGTATCCTCTCATTCCTTGTAATACTGTCTCCTGGTTTCTCAGGTCGGAGACTCTCCCGGAAAGAAGCTGAGAAGCCGTGGGAGCTGCTCTCTGTCATGAAAAGGTGACCACTTGCTCTTTGCAGTCTCCAAATCCCCAGCCTGGCCTGTGATGATTTCTATGCTTGGTCTGGAGCAGGGATGAGGAGAAGGATAATGGCTGGGTGGGAGTCAGACACAAGTGGATGCTGAGCACAGTTGAGAGGGTTGCCAGGGCAGGGATCAGGTATCTCAGGAGAGAGGAATCTCCCAGTTCTGCTATAGGTCAGTTCACAGCGGTCCTGGAATTCAGGATTCACTAGTACATAATTCATTAAAGACTCTACATGAGTTTCCACTCATCCATAAGACAATTTATCCAGCCAAGAGAATAGACAAATGCATGCATAAATAGATGCACACTATCATATTCCCTTTACAGTTAGTCATTCAAGGGCAGACCTGTGGAACCTGTTGAAATTACCTCCATGGTCTTGTCTTCAGGGAGGCCAGTTCCTGGGACAGCACTTAGGAAGGAGCCTGTCATCTTATCCTCTTCTTAAAGTCTCTAGAGAATGGGATTGGCTCTCAAGAGATGCTATGTACAGGAGCTGGGACACCCCATAGTCCCTGAATGCATAGTTCCCACAAAGACCTCATTTTCCACAGTTTAGAAATACTGAATACTAGGCTGTGGCCTTCTTAATCCCAAAGGAGACTGACTCCAGATTCTCCTGGTCATGTTCTTCAGGCTGCTGCTTCAGCTTAATATTGGCTCCCCTGCTCCCGCCTCACTGCCTGGTCCCCTTCTCCTGGTTCAGCTTCTCAACACTGGTCAACAGAAAACTCAACCCACCTCCCGGTCTGTCATGGCCCTGTACTCCCATAGGCTGTCTGAGACCTTGCCCAACAAGGTGCAGACCTACAGCCCACCCCAACATAATTTGCCAATAGCATTTTCCTTGGAGGAAAAGGAGATGGGCAAACACCCGGGGGTACAAGCCCAAGGTTTCCAGGACTAGGGGAGGGCAATCTGCAGGCCACACACATTCAAAGAGTCAGGTGTCATTCCATCAGTAATGGCTACCATCTTCCCTTCTCAGCCAGGGCTGGCTTCCTCAGGAGGGAAGTGTGCGGCGGCTCCTGTGTGCAGACACCTGCTGCCAAATCTGCAATTCTATGGCGCTGGAGATCCAGCAGTTGCTGGTGGGTGAGAACACCCTGATCTGTCCTGCTTCATCAGAACCATAGCAGGGCTCCTCTTGACTAGAGATTTTGTCCATCTCTACTGTGTCTTTAGAACAGAATCTGGACCAAAGTTCCCTACACTCCACAGCACTTGCATGTCCATCTCTAGCACCCCCAGTGTTGCAATCAATGGATCATAAATGCTTAACACAGTCAGCTGCCCAGTCAACTGGTAAAGTCAGGGTACACGATTATTGGGCTGAACACCACCAGCTGGGGCAGGGATTTCAAATATCAGAGGTGCCCAGGGGCCTGGATACTATGTCTTGCTCAAGACTTGAGGAGGCTAGGTTAACAGTGAACCAGCAGGAGATGATGCAGAGCACCCCCAACCATGTCTATGGGAACCAAGGGCAGCAGCTCTTGAATTCCCAGGTCGCTCTGCAGACCCTAAACCACCAATTCACTACCCAGACACACCCTATGGGCTTGCATATGGTTACTGTCCTCCCTGCCAACCTGCCATTCCTTAGTCCTGAAGTCCTGAGGGTTCTTGAGGTACATGTGAAAAAATGGATGCATTTTCAGAGATGGGGACTTCCCAGACGTGTGGAAGAGTCCCTAAGGCAGCTTATCCCAAACCCGCCATTCTTTTGCCAAAGTGTAAATAACCAACCGGTTTCTTTCATCCCAAATGATACTTCTAAGTTCTCGATTGAAAAACTGGGGACCTATTCCTACCAGAACTGGGGTCCATGTATGGCCAGCCAGCCTACACAGGCTTTCTGGGTTTCAGAATGGTCCATCATGGACCCAGAACAAAGACACCACCACCAGCAAATTGCAAACCATATGGCTGTGGCCTTGCCCTCTCCAGCCTTTAAAGACTCAAGTGGCCTCTGTCCACATCTTGGGCACCAGGCTCATGACTCAGTGGCCCATCTGCAGCAGAAATATAGCCAGCTATTCTGTGGTCTCCCTTCCCTACACAGTGAGTCCCTCGTTAACACCTTAATAGGCTCTCAAAGCCTCTCCACAAATGGGAACATATGCCAGTACCCCCTGAAGGATGCTTTTCTCTTCAAGGAACTTTCTGTCATCCCTCTGCTGCCTAAAATTCCACCCCAATCAGCCCCACCCTCTTCCCCATCTGACTACCAACAAGCTCACATCAGTGTTCCATTTCTGACGTTGGCCGAGTGTGATGCCTTGGAGTGGCACCTGCTGCAGAAGCAGCTCCAGCTTCAGTGGGGCTTGCCAGTGGTTTTCCAGAGATGTCAGCACAACCAGAGACCCACGCAGAATAGGCCCTGTGGAAAAGCCCAGTCTCCTGAGACAGTGAAAACTTTTTGGCCAGTGAAGCCCATCGCAGTCCTCACTAGGAAACTACTCTTCTTCCCGGAACATGCCCGGAGGCTGCTGGAATTCCATCTCCAGAGGCAGTTGATTCACCATCGCTGGGGCCTGCCCCAAAAGATCCAGGAGTCCATCCAGTTGCTCCTGTCCCCCACTGATCAGTCGACTCTGTCTTGGAGCAGCACAGCCCTAGCCAACATGAGTGCTCCCCAACCTACAGCCCTAGAGGCCACTGGGGCCGGTGACCCATTCTCGCCCATCACAGACCCAGTGTCAGTCCCCATGCCACACTTGTTTGACCAGGCCAAGGCAATATTACAGAGCCACATGAACTCCAAAGGTGGGCAGATCCACCAGGGCAAGGTCCCTGCTTGTGTATATAGCTCTTGGCAGTGCATCATTCCTGGGGACCTGCAACTGGCTCCCTTAACCTGCATCCCAGAAAGCAAGACCTTGGAGCTGCAGGCAGCAACTGACCCTGCCCCACAAGAGAAAGTTACACCCTCGACACCAATGGCCCTTGACCAACAGCAACAAGCCTCACCAGATACTGTCACTGAACACCCTAAACTGCCCCAAGCCCTGTCCGAGGGAGCCATTGAGAAACTGGAGACAACTCTGCGGCACAAGTATCTGGCCTTCTTGTCAGGGCTGCCTGCTCTTTATTATGTGGCTCTTTCCAGAGCCATGGCACCGGCAATCACTACCCAAGATGTAATCGCAGGACTGGAGCCTGGACCTGGAAAATTCCCAACTGAACCTCTGACTCAGATGAGCTCATCTGAAGAGAAGTGTCTGAGTCCCGGACCGTGCTTTCAAGATGCCAACAATACTTGTGCAGACATTGCAGATGAATTGCAGGCTGAAGGGCAGGTAGAAGGAATGATCGAGACAGTGCCTCTAGAAAGCCAGACAGAGACTTCTGGGCCCTACACACTCAAGAAACCCATCTTGGCCAAATTAAATTTCCATCTAAGAAAGAAGATCTTAGAGATACAACTGGGAATTCCCATAAAGGCAAGGAAGTCCAGAGAACAAACTATAGCAATCCCAGAGAACACATCCACACAGGCGTCTCCAGAGAATCTGAACAACCAGGGGAAAACACTGCCCCAGAATCTCCCTACCCCACCAGATGCTCCTCGTGCCCCAGATCCAGAATGGCTCCACCTTAAAGAACAGCTGGCCATTGAATTAAAGGCAGTGCAGCAGAACCAGAAGCAACCCAGTTCCAGAGCAGTACCTCATGCCTCTGCCCACTGGGCCTCAAAGATCTCACAACCCAGTGGCGACATGACAGAGGCCCAGGTACTTTGTGTTCAGCTAGAGGCCAGTGTGAACAGCCACAGCCTGGAGGAATCCTGGAGCCCCGAGCCCCAAAGCCCTGGCAAAAGCAAAGACTCAGCCCAAGTCCCCATACCGGTAGAAAAGAGAAAGGACCCAGGAAAACCCAAACTGGCAGGGGACCACGGAGAAGGGGATGCAGGGTTTGCACACTCCTCTACAAAAGAAATAAGCCACCCTGATGCAGCCCAGAGGCCAGAAAGGATGAAGAGGACACCACGCGGTCCCTGGCAACGAAGCCATAGCTTTCATCTTGATGCTCTCTGTGAACATAGTACCCAGCACCCTCAGATTAAGCTTCCAGAGCCACCTCCAGGAATCCCTGGGGGAAAAGAATCTGAAAAGAATGCCCTGCATGACAGTCAAACCAAGCCCAATGTCCTTCTCAAACCAGGAAAGATTCCTAAGAATGCCCAGCCTGTGGTGTCCCAGGCATCACAGGACCAGCCTTTCCTGGGCCAGCTCATTCAGGGCAAGCCTTTGCAGGGCCAAACTTTGAAAACTCAAGTTTTTCAGGGGCAGGTGATGCCAGTCCATACTCATAAGAGGCCCAGCCTTCTAGAATCTGGCTTGAGAAGGAAGATGAAATCCTTTCTGCATTGTTTTAACACCAAGACAAAAGGCAAAGGCCATGAGGAATCCATGTTCTCTTCAGCTGGGAAGGTGGCCAACACCAGAAAAGAAAATTTAGAAAAGAGCTTGGCTCTAGCCAAAAGTCCCACAGGGCAAACCAAGACAGAGAACAAAGGAGGGGACTCCAAGGCCCAATCTTCCCCCACTGAGAAGCAGGTGGGCCTGGGCTTCTTGGAAGGTCCCCATTACCCAGACAGTAAGCTCTGGCACCGCTCCCGCTCCCAGCAACTCCATTGTGCCTCAGTCTTGGGTCACCCTCGCCACTGCCCTCGGCACTGTCCTAGAGTGGCTTTTGCTACCCAACCAGGGAACATGACCTAGGTCTCAACTCTCACGTTAGAGGGAAACGTTAGTCTTTCAAGAAGACCCAACACAATCAAGGACTTTGTAGGCTCCCCATGTCTGCGTCCTTTGAAGAAGACTGCTACTGTCATTTTCATTAATGTACAGGTGGGGCAGAGCACCACTGAAATACATTATACCTTTAAGCAAAGAATTGTCTGTCTCCTTTTATGCACTGTGGTGTATTAAGGGAAGGCATGAGGGGAGGCTAAAATTCCTTTTCAATTAGGGAAGAAGCTTTAACCCACCCTAAAGCTGGGTTAGCATTTCATACAACTCCTCCCAGCCCACCCTGGACTATGGATAAAGAGACAAGGAGTTGGGGAACCTGGGTGGCTCAGTTGGTTAAGCAACTGACTTGTTTTGGCTCAGGTCAATATCCAAGATTCTAGGATCCTCACAGAGTGTGGAACTTAAGAAACTCTCTCTCTCTTTCTCTCTCTCTCTCTCTCACAGACACATACACACACACACTAAAGAAGGGAGTAAGGACTTAAGCAAAGAATGAAGGCAAGGTAAATAAAGAAATAAAGGTCAAGCTTGGGGGTGCCTAGATGGCTCAGCTAGTTAAGCATCTGACATTGGTCAGGTCATGATCTCACAGTCTGGTTTGGAGCCCCATTTCAGGCTCTGTGCTGAGAGAACAGTAGAGCCTGGAGCCTATTTTGGATTCTGTGTCTCCCTCTCTCTCTCTGCCTCTTCCTGCTTGTGCTCGCTCTCTCTCAAAAATAAAAAATGATAATAAAATAAAATAAAGATCATGCTTGAATTCTATCGTGGGTCTCATGGTGTCCTTGGGCCCAGATGAGTAACGTGGACATGAGTAGTGACAAGGAGTGGCCAGAAATCCTACAGGCAGAATTCATTGCCTGTATTCATTGGTAACTTCTATATATGCTCACAGTCTGCAGGGGTGGTTTTTAGAGCAGCACCATAGTGCTCTAACCTTGAAGAGGTACTTTGTGTTTAGCAAAATCACATACTCTTTTCCAGAGTGACTGCACCAGCTGGCATTCAGATAAACATGCAAAAGGGTTCCCCTTTCTCCACATCCTTGCCAACATCTGTTGTTTCCTGAACTGTTAATTTTAGTCATTCTGACAGGTGTGAGTTGGTATCTCACTGTGGTTTTGATTTGTATTTTCCTGATGATGAGTGATGTTAGCCATCTGGATGCCTCCTTTGGAAAATGTCTATTCATGTCTTCTGCCCATTTCTTTTTTTTTAATTTCTTTTTTAAAATTTACATCCAAGTTAGTTAGCATATAATGCAACAATGATTTCAGGAGTAGATTCCTTAATGTCCCTTACCCATTTAGCCCATATGCCTTCCCACAACCCCCCCGCACGTAAACCTCTATTTGTTCTTCATATTTAAGAGTCTCTTATGTTTTTATCCTCCTCCCTATTTTTATATTATTTTTCTTCCCTTCCCTTATATTCATCTGTTTTGTACTTAAAGTCCTCAGAGACTGAAGTCATATGGTATTTGTCTTTCTCTAATTTCACTTAGCATAATACCCTCTAGTTCCATATACGTAGTTGCAAATGGCAAGATTTCATTCTTTTTTATTGTTGAGTAATACTCCAACATCTTTATCCATTCATCCATCGATGGACATCTGGGCTCTTTCCATACTTTGGCTATTGCTGATAGTGCTGCTATAAACGGTGGGGTACATGTGTCCCTTCAAAATAGAATACCTGTATCCCTTGGATAAATACCTAGTAGGTAATTATGGGTTGTATGGTAGCTCTATTTTTAATTTTTTGAGGAACCTCCATACTGTTTTCCAGAGTGGCTGCACCAGTTTGCATTCCCACCAGCAGTGTAAAAGAGATCCTCTTTCTCTGCATCCTTGCCAACATCTATTGTTGCCAGAGTTGTTAAAGTTAGTCATTCTGACAGATGTGAGGTGGTATCTCATTGTGGTTTTGATTTGTATTTCCCTATGATGAATGATGTCGAGCATCATTTCATGTGTCTGTTGGCCACCTGGATATCTTCTTTGGAGAAGTGTCTGTTCATGTCTTTGGCCCATTTCTTCACCGGATTATTTATTTTTTGGGTGTGGAATTTGCTAAGTTCTTTATAGATTTTAGATACTAACCCTTTATCTGATATGTCGTCTGCAAATATCTTCTCCCATTCCTCAGTTGCCTTTAAGTTTTGCTGTGCAGAAGCTTTTTATTTTGATGAGGTCCCAATAGTTCATTTTTGCTTTTGTTTCCCTGGCCTCCTGAGACATGTTGAATAAGAAGCTGATGTGTGTCTTCTGCCCATTTTTTAACTGGATTATTTGTTGTTTGGGTGTTGAGTTTTATAAGTTCCTTATAGATTCTAGATACTAACTCTTACCTAATACATCATTTGGAACTACCTTCTCCCATTCTATCAGTTGCCTTTTAGTTTTGTTTATTATTTCCTTCACTGTGCAGAAGCTTTTTATCTTGATGAGGTCCCAAAAGTTCATTTTTGCTTTTGTTTCCCTTGCCTCTGGAGACATGCCTAGTAAGAAGTTGCTGTGGCTGAGGTCAAATGGTCTGCACTGCTGCAATTGCACTAATAGGTATTTACCCAAAGGATATAAAAATGCTGATTCAAAGGGACACATGTACACCAATGTTTATGGCAGCACTATCAACAATAGCCAAATAGGTAAGAGCCCAAATGTTCATCAACTGATGAATGGCTAAAGAAAATGTGGCACACGTGTGTGCATGTGTGTAATGGAATGTTACTCGGTGATCAAAAAGAATGAAATCTTGCCATTTGCAAGAACATGGATGGAACTAGAGTATATTATGCTAAGTGAATTCAGTCAGAGAAAGACAAATATAATTTCACTCATATGTGGAATTTAAGAAACAAAACATGAATGGGAAAGAGAACGAAAAATGAAATGAGATAAAAACAGAGAGGGAGGCAAACCATAAGAGACTCTTAAATATAGAGAACAAACTGAGGGTTGCTGGAGGGGAGGTGAGTGGTGAGATAGGTTAAATGGGTGATGGCCATTAAGGAGGGCACTTGTTGGGATGAACCCCAGGGTTATATGTAAGTGATGAATCACTAAATTCAACCCCTAAAACCATATGACACTGTATATTAACTGACTTGAATTTAAATTTAAAAAATAATTAATAAAGCACATAGCTAATGTGACAGGATGTCAAAAGCAAATGACAGAATCTCCCCTGCTCTGCTTCCTGTTGGTTTTTGGTAAGATCTTTCTGGAGAACTCATTTCAGAAGCTGCTGTAGCTCTCTGACCTATATCCCTTCTCCACTGCCTGCTAGGTACATAGAATGAGTGACTCCTGGAATGAAGATCACAGTAGGACAGGAAGAGGAGCTTGTCCCCCGCTCCCAAGGGCTGTAGGAAGAGAATCAGGAAGGGGGACCATGTAAATGGAGGTATGAGTACCTGGGACAGAAGCTGACATGTTCCTGACCAGGACATGGTAAGAGAGCCTAGAATCAGAAGTTAACCCAAAGTTCAAGGGCTTCAGGGGGAAGTAGGTAAGTAAATCTGAGCTTCAGTCTGATTGTTCTTAGTGTGATTAAGAGAGGTTGGCTGACAGAGTGGCTAAAATGAGGAAATCAGAGAACTCTAGATGCTGGCGAGGATGTGGAGAAACAGGCACCCTCCTACACTGTTGGTGGGAATGCAAACTGGTGCAACCCCTCTGGAAAACAGTGTGGAGGTTCCTCAAAAAATTAACAATAGAACTCCCCTATGACCCAGCAATAGCACTGCTAGGAATTTACCCAAGGGATACAGAAATGCTGAGGCATAGGAGCACATGTACCTCAATGTTCATAGCAGCACTCTCAACAATAGCCAAAACACGTAAAGAGCCTAAGTGTCCATCAACAGACGAATGGATCAAGAAGATGTGGTTTATCTATACCATGGAATACTACATGGCAATGAGAAACAATGAAATCTGGCCATGTGTAGCAACATGGATGGACCTTGAGGGTGTTATGCTGAGCAAAATAAGTCAGGCAGAGAAGGACAAATATCACATGTTTGCACGTATAGGAGGATTAGGAGGAACTTAACTGAGGACCATGGGAGAGAAGAAGGGGGAAAATGGTGGGGGGAAAGGGAGAGAGGCAAACCATGAGAGACTCTTGAATGCTGAGAAACAAACTGAGGACTGATGGATGTGGGGGGGGAGGGGGGAGATGGGCATGGAGGAGGGCACTTGTGGGGATGAGCACTAGGTGTTATATGGAAACCAATTTGACAATAAACTATTTGTAAAAAAAAAAAAAAAAAAAAAAACAGAGAGGTTGGCTGAGCGTTGACACTGCTGGGAAAGAACCACAAACACAAGTTTTTCCTAAATACATCCAATCTTGTCAAGTACTGCCAGCAGCGTGTACCCAGACCTACTGTTATGTCTCATTTCTACACCACCTACACCTTCAATCCTTCTCAATGTTCCTCTTTTCCACCAGCCTTGCCTTCCCGAATATACATACACATATATGTGTGTACATATTTTTCAAGTTTTTTACTTGTTTGAGGGAGAGACAGAGTGAGCAGGGGAAGGGAAGAGAGGGAGAGAGAGAGAAACCCAAGCAGGTTCTGTACTGTTTGAGCAGGGGGCTTGAATTCATGAACCATGAGATAATGACCTAAGGTGTAACCAAGAGTCAGACACAACCAACTGAGCCACCCAGACACCCCTAAATATATATACATTTTTATGTGTCTCATGAATACTGTATGGTGTTGAACTCAGCTGTATCCTCTCCCAGGATCTGCCTGGTGTCTTTCCCACTCTTCTCCTACCCCCAGACAAAGACAGCATCAATTAGCCTACCCACCCCAGCCCTTGGTGCCTGTCATCATTCCACATTTCTTCGTTATTCCCCCTGAATTTCAGAAAGCACCAGAACCACTCACTTTGACTGTCAACAGCAATAACAAAATACTTTTATTAATGCTGTTGAAAAGTGTTGTGTTCCATTAAACAGTCAAGAAAAGTGGTCAGGGATCTAGATCTAGAATTTAATGCCACACATGAGGCTCTTTACCAAATAAGCTGCTCAGCACTGAAGAGGGACTGTAGGCCCTTTGGTCTTTCTGGAATATCCAATAATTTTCTATTTCATAGTAATATCTGTTTATAATTA